ATTCTTATGAATGTTTACGTTTAAAAATGGTAATAAAGTTTTACAATTTGTTATGTGAAACAATTTTCCAAGCTTTCTGACGTGTATTTTATATATTTTTAGCCTCTTCACTCCTGGCAAACAGATATATTTTGAGATCAGTGAGATGACCACCCACCGAACCACGACCGATAACCCACGCCCGCGATCATTGATGAACTTTAGACTAGCTAGCTTCGCTAATGATTTCGCTTCCCCGGGTGTAAATAGCTGGGCGGAATTATTGCCCTTGCCCCGGGCTTACGCCCTGAACGGCGCTCCGCGCCATTGGCTCGTTAATTATAAGTATTATTTTACTATTAATATCACTCAATTACTATTTATTTCTACCGTAGTATTTGACTACGAGCATTTATTTGTATCTTATATTTCGTGTGCTGCTTGTACATATTTTTCTATATTTATTTAAACTATGACGTGGTAACCCAATATTCAACACGCCTTTTGTCTTCTTTTTCGGTTCCCTCGCCTCAAATTTCTATTATTATTTTTTGTTTATTTGTGTGTTACTTTTTGTAATTTCTTTTGTGGGAAAATTATTACATCAAATCAATCAATCAATCAAACAGGTGTCCATGAACTTTCTTCCACACAAAGGCAACGTTTCCTTAGGGACGGACCATTTGATTTTTCATGGGGGGGGGGGCGCAAATCCGAAAAAAAATATCGAGCATGTCTCGAATGGAAGAAAAAAAATCGAACATCACTAACACCAGCAAAAAAAAAATATCGAGAACAAAAAAATTCTAAATTAGCAATACTCTATATTGTAAGAAAAATTCAGTTTCCCTGAGTTTTTTTCTGTTGAGTGTTTCGGTTCTGCCTTGGTTAACAATACCGGAAGTATACATGCAAAATACAAACCGATACAAACCAGCTCTGACAACTTTGACTTCAATAATTCAATTATCCTCAAATTACCTTAATGGTATCCCTAAAAAGCCCAATCTTAACACTGAAAGTCCCACACTTCTGTAAATACGACATCGATTAATGAGGGTGGGAAAGGGGGGGGGGGGGTATGGTTCACGTTTCACAACAAAAAAAAACGTTTCACAATTCACGTGCCATAAAAAAGCAATTTCACATTTCACGGATAACGAGACTCTAATAAAAATAATATAATAATAATAGCTTTAAGATTATGTTTAATGCATGGTACAGTACTACGCTTTAAGTTCTCTTCTCTGCCTGGCAGTTAAAAACTACTTACAAGTTTGAGTGATGAGTACGTCCGACGACCTCGAAAGGCCTCCGAAGTTTCTACTCTTGTGCAATCGAGTGAGATCGATCATATAAATTATTATCGCGTATTATGTCCATTATGACTATTATAAAATAGATCGGAATAAACAAATCAAAATCACAGTTCACGAAACAGACATCCTTAATTCCCATTTCACGGAGCATTTTTATCGACAATCACGCCTCACGGCTGTAGAACAAATCACATATCATGACAGTAAAATCATGCATTTCACACGATCAAATATTGACCATTCACGCAGTGGCGTAGACAAGGGGGGGGGGGCTCATCCCCCCCTCCCCAATGGCTGAAGGACTGCCCTTGTAAAAAGATGAAATCCGGGTAGAAATTGGGGGGGGGGGACGATGACTACCCATGTGACTGCCAATCTCATCTGTTCACCAAATTGTCTATAAAAGTTCTAATCTTTCCTAAATCTAACTACAGAAAATAATGCCTATGGTGGTTATTGGTTAAAATGCGTTTTAAAACTTCGATTTAACTATTTACACGCGACCAAGTAGGCTTCGTTGAGTCAAATTAAGGATCCACATTATTGAGAAATTATTAAAAATCAGATCTTTCCTGCGGTAAATAATCCTCAGAATTATGCAAAATCTCTCCCCAGAAACACGGGAAATCGCCATTGAGGGACTCCAGATTTCAAAATTTTCCCGGGGGAGAATGCCCCCGGACACCCCTAAAAAAGCTTACGCCTTCGGCGTTCGATATATGCCCCCCCCCCCTCAAATTATAGTCTGGGTACGCATTCACGGCTCACAAAAATACCCTTTCCCACCTTCATTAATATCGCTCTCTGATTCGGAATAAAAATCGCAGTTTATAATACGCGTATTGGGAACACTGATACGATTGGGAACCGTGAGAATTTGTATATAGATGCTATTACGTCAATGCAAAATGGGTTACACACTTAGGGAGTGGTCATTATTTATGGGGAGGGGGGAGGGGGGGTTGGGAAATGGGGAAAATAAGGATTGAAAACTTTTTTGACCCCCCCCCTCCAGACTGAAGGTAAACTTTTTGTGCCTCCCCCCTCATAAAAGTAGAAACTTTCCTGACCCCCTCCCTCCCCCCCAGTGTGAATTGAAAAATTAACAGCAATGAAACGAGTGTGCGTTGCAGGTAAAGTTAGATATTAGGAGAATCTGTTTAATCTAGCTCATAATGTTTTACCCTGGTGAATATGATTCAACCATATATGATTAAAAAATATATATTATGTGAAACTACTTTGCAATGCAACATTTATCCTACCATAACCCTAACCTATGACCCGTCTTCATACAGCGAAATGATTTTAGCACAGGTGTTTTTTAAGAACTTGTCTGGGGGGTGGGCATCTACAAAAAGGGATCATACTATATTGAGTGTGGAGAGATGACAGATGGTTGTTGGTGACAAAAAGTTTGGTGTGGTATCGTATGTACTAGTAAGGGGGGTTTGGGGGTATTCTCCCCCAGGAATTTTTTAGTATTTTTCCACCGCTAGAACTGAAATCTGAGCATTTTCTGAAACAAATTTTTGTATATATATACAGTGTTACATTGTGCGTTGATAGACCAAATCTGATCAGTTAGGTGTACTTTTTTTCTTTTTTTTTAATAACTTGACAATCAATAAGATCGAAGGTCAGGACAACGGACAAGAAGTTCCCAATTAAGTCCCACCAAGACAACACAAATGCAGACGTACATAAAAACTATTTCCAACAGTAAAAATTAATCTAGATTGAAGAATGCTCGAATGGTTAATGTATTGAAACTCAGTTTGTAACGAATTTATATGAAAAAAAAATGTATCAAGACTTATAACGAAAACTGAGCATATTAAGCATATAACAGATTAACCCATCGATCATGCTACGAGCACCTAGGTATTATTATACTTGCATGGTATGTTTATGTAAATACCACAACTGTGTCACTCAAGGGGTAGAAAGCCGTTAAACTTAGTGGGCCCAACTCCCACGATCGCGAGGCATGGTTGGCGCTGAGCAGGGAAATTTTGAGTCTCCAGATCGTTGGAAATAGCATTTTCAGTGTCTTCTTTTTTGCTATTTGTGATTATAGAAATCAGAACTGTAGACATGGTATTTAAGTTCAAAAACTTTTATGACCCCCCTTCTCTGTGTTAAAACTTTTTGACCCCCCTATTTATAAGGGTAAAACTTCGTTTGCCCCCCCCCCATTTCCCAACCCTCCCTCCCCATAAATAACGACCACTCCCTTACACTTGATCCAATTTTGATCGGGGCTATGGTCTACATTTCATATACCATAGCCCCGTATAAAATGGGCCAAGTATAAAATTGGCCAAGTATAAAATGGGCAGTAATAGTTATATCATAGAATAGGAAGGTATACCAGAAGTCTCACTCAAGCAGGTATTTGTCCGCGTTTTTACAAGCGCTTCGTCATCAATCACGCCATCCTGGCTAGTACAACCGGCACTTTGTACCTACCAAAACCTGATAAAAACGTCCGGCTGTACTAGCCAGGATGGCATGAGCGAGTTAAAATTTTCGTGGGTAATACTTCTGCTATACTTTCCTATTTTGTGGTTATATGCTGTATATTCAAATACATTCGTCAGCTGGAATATAACCATACATGTTTATTATTGTATTAACGCTATAGTAAAAGTGCACGCGGCAAGATTCGATAAAAAATAATCGTGCGGAGTCGGTGAGGTCCAAAAAAAATCGAGCATTCTCAAAAATGCGCCCCCCCCCCATGAAAAATCAAATGGTCCATCCCTTATTCGTGCCAAAAGTGCACCTTTGGACTTGGAAGTAGTTTTAACTGAATTGTATAAACTCAATGGCAGTATGATACAGTACTGCTCAGAAATAACCTAACACCTTGTTCGCGTTCCGAACGCGTTCCAGACGCGTTCCAAACGCGGTTGGAACGCGGTTGGAACGCGGTCGGAGCGCGTTCCAGAGGAAACTTGGAAACGCGTTGCCCAATTTGGCTAAAAACCGCGTTCTCGCATCGGAAAATCCCGACACCGAATGAAACATGAGCTACTGTAGATTTTGACAGTTGACAACTATGAACAATTATTATCAAGCTTCATCCCGGACTGAAATACCAGCCCGGTTTGATCCAGACTGAAACTATTATTATTATTATTATTATTATTATTATTATTATTATTAAAACATCTTTAAACACGGTAGCTAATCAACTATAAAATATTTACAAGGTTTTCATTGCTTTTCATTAGGCCGTGTAGTTACAAACAGTATAAGAAACTCCCATCCACCCTCCCCATATAATAACAGTAAAATCTTCACACTCAAACCCCACCCAAATAAGATAAAAGATAATTCAAGAGTTTTTATTTCTCTCATTCCAAACTTTAGCAGAGCGTAACCGAAAGTACGTTTCATTAAATTTGTTTTTGGCTTTGACAACATCAACTTATTATTATTGCTTCGTAATTCATATCTTACAGAGTTGGATAATCTGAACATATCCGAAATGTTCTTAGGACATTGGCATGTAAGAGCTTTCGATACGCATTTTAGTTGTTGTTCCTTCCTTCTTTCACTTAACGTTTTCCATTCTAGTTTCTTTAAAATATCAATCGAGCGTATTTCATATGGGTCGCCGGTAATAACTCTAGCAGCTCGGTTTTGAAGCTTCTGAAGCTTCCTTCTTAAATATTTACCACAGTTACCCCAAACCATTGAGCAGTAATCAAAGTGTGGTTGAACTAGGGCTTGGTAGAGATGTTGAAGAGTTTTGGTTGGAACATAGGGTTTTACACGGCGCAACATGCCAATGCCCTTTGAAGCTTTTTTACTGATGTTGTCAATCTGCTTATCCCAGCACAGATGTTCGTCAACCAATACGCCTAAGGTCTTTTTGGTTTCAACCTCTTTTAATACTTTGCCATCGATAGAAACATTAATGTCTTGAGAAAGATTATTCAACCTTTGACGTGTTCCAATGATCATATATTCCGTTTTTTCTACATTTAACGTTAATTTGTTTGAAAGAAGCCAGTGATGAATATTTTCCAATTCACTATTTAAGGCCTCTTCCACATGAATTAAACTAGATGAACGCACTGTAATATTTGTATCATCAGCATACATTGCTGCATGTGAGTTCTTCATACAGTTTGGGAGATCGTTCACATATAACAAAAATAGAAGAGGACCAAGATTTGATCCTTGTGGAACCCCACAACTTACTTTCCTTATGTACGATGTTGCATTATTGACCACGCAGAATTGTTTTCTATTGTGCAAATACGATTTAAACCAGTCTAGGGATTTGTTTCGAATTCCAAAGATAAATAACTTTTTAATAAGAATTTTATGATTAACTGTGTCAAATGCTTTGCATAGATCAAGGAAAAAAACACCGTTTATCAACCCAGCATCCATATTCAGTAGCCATGAAACTAAGTCTTCCAAAGGTCAGTGACCTAGAATACATCTACCATATTTGTAGCATAATTATTAATCCTGACAAAACAAATCTTGAAAATGTAAATCAAATTCCTATGGCAACCTCAAATATTGATACATTAAGCAATAACTCCTTCAAACAAGATGAATTAGTACCAACAATTCGTGGCTTTAAAATAGCCAGCTTAAATATTACTAGTCTGCCGAAGCATATAGACGAATTAAGAGTCGCAATGAGAAATAATGAAATTGATGTCCTTGCAATTAATGAAAGCAGAATGGACAACAGTATAGCACCCGAGTTAATAACAATACGTGGCTACAACTGGGTTTCCAAAGATAGAAATAGATTTGGGGGTAGTATTGGTTTCTACATTAGAAACATTCAATCAGCACTCTATATAAATTTGAGAGTTGTTTAAAATTAATTGATAACGAAGACAAAGAAAGTATTATTTTAGGGGATATTAATTGTGATCTCCTAGACAACAATCCCACGTCACTAGTACCAGAATTGAAATTTATTACAAATCTATATCAATACGAACAATTGATAAAAGAACCTACTAGGGTTACAAAAGATACTTCATCCCTTATAGATCATTTTTATACAACAAACACCAACCACATTATTTCTAGTGGTGTGACAGCATCACTATCAGTGATCACTATTTGATCTACGGCATTCGTAAATTTAAAACTTTTAAACAGTCTCCACGGTTTATTGAATACCGGGATTTTAAACACTTCAATGAACAAGACTTTATGTGTAATCTAACATCGTTATCAAATTTGAATCTCATCCATTCTGATCCTAATAAATCTTGGACGATTTGGAAAAAACAAATTCCTAGAGATTGTAAATATACATGCCCCGCTTAAAAGACGTAAAGTATCCAGTAAACAAATACCATGGTTAACGAATTATCTTATTTTAAAAAAGCGGGAGAAGACATATTTAAAACGCAAAGCAGTGTTATCAAAGTCTATGACTGACTGGTCCGACTACCGCCATGCAAGAAATTGTTATAATAAATTACTAGTGAAAGATACAATCCGCAGTCATTTTCAAAATAAATTACATAATAACCAAGGTAATCTTAAAAAACCTGGAAAACGATTAATGAGTTAATTAATAAGTCTAAAAAAGAGAATTCAGTTCTAGAAGTAAGAATTGATTCTGTTGAAATTACTGATCCGATAAACATCTCAAATGCATTTAATAAGCATTTTGTTGAAATGGGAGATAAACTTTCGAATGATATACCTCAATCAAATGTAACTCCTGAAAGTTATCTTAGCGACGTTCAAAATTCAGTAAATCAGTTAACCTGTTTAAGAGAAATTACAGAACCAGAAATATTAGGTTTACTTCAGGGATTGGTTGCCTTTAAAGCATCCGGCATCGATGGAATTTCAGCCAAAATTTTGAAAATCGCAGCTCCAGCAATTACTCCATCGATTGTATCAATTTTTAATCAATCAATCGCAACTGGTATATTCCCATCTGATTGGAAAGTCGCTAGGGCAGCTCCAATACACAAAACAGGAGCTAAGCACGATATGGAAAATTACAGAACGATATCTGTTATTTCAATTATAGCGAAGATTATGGAGAAACTGATACATAATCAATTATATGACTATCTTATAGCTTCAAACCTACTAACAAATTCCCAACACGGCTTTAGACCATGTCATTCAACAACCACAGCTCTATTAGATATTACTAATAGATGGTACCAAAACATGGACGTAGGACAACTAAATGGAGTTGTATTTTTAGATTTAAAAAAGGCCTTTGATACTGTTGACCACGACATTCTTCTAAAAAAATTAAAAATTTATGGCATAAAAGGCATGGCACTCTGTTGGTTGCGATCATATCTATCAGACAGAATCCCATATTGCCAAGTAAATGGTCACCTGTCAGACCCCCTAACCGTGAAGACCGGAATACCACAAGGCTCGGGATTAGGCCCATTATTGTTTTTGAGCTATATTAATGATTTTGCAAA